AAATTCTCAACTAATTGTGTACAGTAACATGTTGTATATGCCTAAAGATATGACCTTCTTCCTGCCTGTGATTGGATATTTAGTATAAAAATATTGCAGATATTTGATTTCGACATCCAGGATTACGCCATCACCAGGAATTGTGGTTGCCTAGTGGGATCCCCACCCCACCCCTACTGTCTAGATTATGTCAAATCAGATAACTAGACTTAACTAGACCCCTAATGGTCTTGGCTTTTTGTTTCTAGATGAAGATATTGAAATAACTTACAGCTACTGGGATGGTTCAGGTCACAGAAGAACTACAAAGGTACTTTACATGTAAATACTACAGATCCCACTGAACTGTGGCAGTGCATCGAAAATTCATGTTGCTACATTGTCATCAGTGAAAACAGAGTGTGCCTGTCAGTGGACAAATGTGGGTGTGGTAGTGACATGAATTTTGCCTTGCCACAGTTTGGTGAGATCCGTAGTACATTACTACATTACTTAATTACTGTGGGAGACAATAACCCTGGAAATGTCTCTCTTCAAATCTCAGACATTTATGAGACTTTTTAGATCAATCAATCAATCAATCAAAGTTTATTCACACCAAAAAATATTGAAGGAGTAATTACATTGAGATGCATAAAGATTATATAAATCATAATCATAATCATTTTACTGATGAAGGCCATCGGTATATGGTTGGAACATCTATTTCTCATACATTAACAGAGACACACCAAATATTATTGATGATTATTACTTTTGTTGGCCAGTAATCATGACCCACAGAGTGGAAGAGGCCTCACAACTTTTCTATCTACAGATAGTTAAATTTTGAAGGAAATTTAAAAATAAGTAAATCATTGTTGCTCTTCAAAAATGGTTCATTCATAAAGCCCCACCACTTTCTAAGCTTGCTCTGTGGGGTTCCCAATTATCTCAGTCAGCAGCATGAATCTTTTAATTGAGCATAGTGTTTTAGATGCTTCTATCATTTATTAATAATCATTAACTTATTAATGATACTCRTGTTGCATTCGTAGATGAAAAAGGGCAATAGCATTTCACAGTTTCTACAAAAATGCATTGAAGAACTACGAAAAGATTTCACAGAATTCAGGTAAGCATATACTGTTTTTGTCCATATTTTAATCTTGAGTTCTTGCTGTCTAGGGAGAGGGGGGGGCAGTTATTGTAGTTGCACTAAAAATGAGAGTGAGAGTAAAGTAAGAGTTTATTAGTCAAACATGAGACATCTGAAGTGACAGTACAGTATACTAACCTACCTCACCCTTGTTTAGAAAATATTCAAACTTGAACTTCTTATCCACAGAGCTGTTACCACAGAAAACCTAATGTACATAAAAGAAGATCTTATTATACCACATGTGAGTATTGTATCAGGGGTTTCATGAATTGTCGATAAATCGAATATTATATWTTTTTTGTGTTTGAGTTCAAGATACATGCAAGGGCGGATCCAGGGGGCAAAGGGGGGGCTGAAGCCCCCCTTCAGCAGAAAAAAAAAACCAACAAAAAAACAAAAAAAAATTGAAGAATTAGATGTGTTTTTTTATTGTTTTTCATTGTGTTGACGGAAGAAACTCAATTAGCCCCCCTCCCTAAACTCAACTAGCCCCCCCCCTAAAATTTTGGCTGGATGGGCCCTTGACATGCATGTCATTCAACGCAAGTGAATGACAAAAAAAATGCATATTTAATTTGTTTTCCTTTGTAATTTCCCTGAGGTCTATATGTCTTCTAGAGTATTGTAAATAAGTATTGTGAAATGAGGTGCGGCACTATACTGAATAGACTGCAATGACGTTTAATAATAATAATGGGAGGTTCTTATATGGCTCATTTCACATTGTCTCTATGGGCTTTAAAAAAAATTTTTTTTWAATTTAGCAGTGGCATTTTTACAGAGTAGTAGATCCACACTGTAATTCAAATGGGAATTTAGGAGTTGATTTTTGCGGAAGGAGGAAAGCTGGGGAACCCGGAAAACCCTCGAAGCACAGGAGAGAACTAACAAACAACTATACTCACATACGACACCAAGCTCAGCGGGACTCGAACCCGGGTCTCATTGGTTGGAGGCGAGCGCTCTCACTGCTACGCCACCCGGGCTTTACATCTGTGACCAGCAGAGGATTTTATGGGCTGCATATTATGGCGCTATTAGCAGCCGTGCAGCTTACAATCATGAGTGATTTGTTAGTACATTAGTGTTATGCCTTCAAATTGGGATAGGCTGTTGAACYGGGAGACAATTCCTATGTTTAATAGTTATATTGATCCTTATCATGATTATTTTTCAGCATTACACATTTTATGATTTCATCATCAACAAAGCACGAGGAAAAAGTGGTCCACTGTTCAGTTTTGATGTACATGAAGATGTGAGGATGATTAATGATGCAACAGTTGAAAAAGATGAGGTACGTTGGATTACCTTTCCATGACCGAGCAATGTGCCAGGATAACTTTGTTTGTTTATGATGGTAGTAATAATGTGATGTTGATGATGATCAGGGTCGTGATGATGATGTTAATGTTGATAATAGTGGTGATGGTGGTGGCGATTATCACGATTGTGGTGATGGTAATGATGATTGCGATGAAGGAGATGGTGGTGGTGGTGGTGGTGGTGGTGGTGATGGTGATGGTGATGGTGATGGTGATGGTGATGGCGATGGCGATGGTGATGGTGATGAAGGAGATGGTGGTGGTGCTGCAGATGATGATGGTTTTATTGATTTGATGATGATGATGGATGATATATATCATTGCGATAACGGTGATGGAGTAAATACAGTTATGATAATGATAATGATGTATTCATATACTTACTACATCAATGAACGATTTTTCATTTCATCCGTTCATACATTTCTTTCATTCTTTATTTTTTCCTTCTCTTTTCTATTGCTTCTCTCTTGCTTCTCCTCATGATTCACTCTAGTATACTTCCATCTTAGTCTCATGCAGGTAAAGTTGTGCTTCGTACTTGGTATGAAAGAAATAAACACATCTTTCCAGCCAGTCGATGGGAGCCTTACGACCCTGAGAAAAAATGGGACAAATACACGGTATTATCAATATTTGAATGGACTTTATGATGACTCAACAACAACAACAGCAGCAACAACAACAACAACAACAACAACTTTATTTTGTACCACTCTCTTATAGGATTTACAGCATTTGTTTTTTATATATACAATATAGATAATTTATAAATGAATCTAAATAGTATTAAAAACACAGTTATTTATAGTATATATACCAAGGCAGATAAGTGAAAAGAAGGTACAGGTTGTCTGCAACAACCACAAGGCTAAGTAAAAACAGACAGCCCGTTCTATGTTATTAAGGAAAGATGATTTTAAGTTAGATGGCACAAAGTATAGTGTTTGTTACTGATATAACACATAATGATGATTGATTCCAGGATTACCAAGCCAGATAATGTATACAGCTATTTCAAAAATGGTTGAATACTGAATACTGCATACTGAATAGTGCATTAGATAGGGTTTAGAGCCAGGGGTCTGTATACATAAACATATTCATTTAACTTCCAAAATTCCAACTCGTTATTTGCGTGGATTTATTGATTTTGTTTCTGTCTTATTCCCAGGTATCTGATATTGACACGCCCAAGACAACATAATAAACAGCTGAATAGGTCAGGTACAGAATAAAGCGTCTTAAAAAACATGCATCATGGCAGTGATTAGAAACCAAATGTATCCACCTTTTTGAAGGAGATTCTGAGACGAAATGTATATTTTATAACGTTCAATAAAAAGGGCTTCGTGCAAACGCTCATTTTCTTAGGTGTCCATTAAGCTGAGTCCTTAAACATTCATTGGTTGTGCAGCTTTTTCCTCGCAGCCCGCCGTATACTATTCTATTTTTTCGTCAACCAATATGCTTTACTACTTATTAGAGCGACATCTGAAATGACAATTAGTGTGTCACCCTGTACATTTTACGAAACATCAATATAGCAAACTTTAAAACAACCCGCTCTAGGCTGATCGAATTCAGGGCATGGCTTACTCACAGATACAACCTCTTGGCTAATCTAAGTAATGACTAAGCAAATTAACAGATCAAACGCTAAAGCAAACTCGATGCTAGCCAGAATCAGGGCAGGGCTAACTCACAGATCAATCTGTATACTTATCCACCCCTCCCCTAGACAATAATCATTAGAAACACAGGAAGCCCTACTTCTAAATATCAAACTTCAATTTTATAGATCCCTGAAACAGCATTTGGTTTACTCACAGATCGAAATTGAATTTAACGTGTCAATAAACCCTTCTCAAAATTATCCTGGATGCAAGGTTAACTTGAAAACACTTTTTTTCGATGGAATTTGTGGCATTTCTTTTGTGTTTTTATCATTTTGAGAAGGTTCTATTGCTGCGCTCTTCAAATCTTATTCAACCGGAACACTGCGTAAGATCGTGACGTCATGCTATCTACTCCAAAACCACGGACGGAAAATAACAATTAGCGAATGCTGCAGTCTCATACTTTCAAAGTGAAGCAGCTTAATCAGTTCGTTGTTGACCCATTTTTTACCTCGTTCGAAATGTGTATTCTTAGTCAAGCTGAAGTTAAACGTCGAGTTTTACAGTAAGACTTCACCATTCGGGACCTGCTTTTGATTGCCCTATTGTAGAGCCCCTCGTTTGTTAGGTAACCTTTAGGTTTAGTTGTTTGGAAGACCAAACTGTTGTCATCTTAATCGTATGTATTGTTTTGTAAATCATGAAACTTTTTGTGAAGGATTTCAAATGGTCCGTGCACATTGAAAACCCTTTGGTCTTTTGTGTCATTAGACTCGGCTCATTTGAAGTTCAATGTTTGTATGCGACCTAAAGGTATCCCAATGCTCATTAAACTCAATAAAGCTTTTAATAGYGCAGCGCACTGATTCTAAAAATAGCTTAAAGATTCGGACAAACATTGCATTCTGTTTAACCGCTACGAAAACTATACGAACCGATTTTATTATTTTTACTTAAAGTTACAATAATAACCCATGTAAACTAAGATCAACTGCGATCGGTTGTGAAAATTATCTGCTGAAAGTAAACTTGTAAGTTTGTTTGTCCGAATTTCGCCTTTGTCTTCGTTTTTATGACGTCACGGTTGCGCTGCGCTATTAGTTTTGTAACATGCATAGCGTGGTTAGACTTTACTATGTTGTTATAATTGAGGTCTTTGRTTGGTCAAATCTCTCTTGAGTTTACACGGTTTACATGGCTTCAAGTTTTCATTTGCATCAAAACGTTTGAAAAGGTCCACAGTACTCGAAGTTCTATGGTTTGAAATCTAGAACCATCGAAACAGTACAAAAAGAGAATAATCGTTCACTGTGGCCTCAAAGTTGATATGAAGACATCTTTACCGTTTCGTCTCACGATCTGAATTTTCGCTGAATTCTTGACCTGGGGAAAAAACAAATTGTTAAACTTAGCTGTACGATTGATACTGACAACATACCTACCTGCTTGGACCCTGCTTGTGAGAAAAGGTCACTGAAAAGGAAGCAAGGCTAATCGAGTTTTCGGGTCAACTAAACTAAACTCTAAAACAAGAATAAATATGTCAATGCTCAAAGCGTTTGCTAAAGAAATGTTTACGAACGACRCTGGAAACGAGGAGGAAGACAAATACTTAGGATTCAACATGAAGGAACAGGTAAAGACTAAAAGTAACCTTATTTCGAAATAAAACCTCATCTTGATACTTTTTTCGAAGTGGCTATTCGTATACGTCACCCGTACACGGCGACATGTATTTGCTATTCGTAATGGTACCCTACGATAGCATAAATTAAGCAATAATTCAAAGCCGACAATGAGGACTGGACGTGATTTCAAGTCCTTGCAAGTAGTTCCAGTACGAGGCACAGCCGAGGACTGGAACTAATTGCGCGGACTTGAAATCCCGTNCTCTTCTAAGTGGTCTATGATTTTCTGCCTTACTTCATCGTCTAAATATACCGGATGTAAACCTTGGATATGACTCATCCAGTCCCTAAAGTATTTTATCCTCTTATATGGGGTCTTCGTACGACCTCCATTGGCGTAATACTGCTCTTTGGTAGCATTTGGTACGGCATTACGAATATTTTTACCACACTCGTAACACTGTGCTGACGTGTCGTCTTCTATTTGCATTTTTTTACCACAACACCAAAAGGGTTCTGGCTTAGGTACGATAACTTTAGGTCTTAGACAAATCACACAGAAGTCGTTAACGAACTTCTTACATTCATGCATCGTATATCCGACAAATATTTTACCCTCCGTTTGCGACCCCAACAGAGCAGCAGTTAGGAACCTTTCGCGCTGTCGGCCGATCGCGCAAGACCCCCTGTAGGGCGGTTAACCGACCTCCAAAACCCCACCCCCCCCTGGTGTTTTTCGATATGCGATTTTTGGCATTGTCGGCGCTTCGCGAGTCCACCTAACTGCTGCTTACCAACTGAGCTAACCGGGTGGCGGTTAAATATAATAAATATGTATGTGTACGTGCTGATGATATATCGTTTAAATATGGCTAACAAATGAGCACCCAAGCGAATTCACTTTGTGGTCTAGTGGTTAGGGTTAGGGCGTAGAGGTTAGGGTTAAGGTTTCGATTCTTGGTGTCTTCATTTGATCGATTTATTGTTGTACCGTTAACAATGGATGCTAATGAGAAATCTTTTGTTAAATGGTACCAATATGGCCGCGATGACGTAACGTGCAAACGAAGAATAGGATATATTTGTCATCAAATATCCTAACACCCTATAATTATGGTTTAACGTTGTTTAACATAAAATGCTCTGATCCATTTACACTAATGTTACAACTTTTATAACTCGATCAATGGCAGCCGCCCCATAGGCGGGCCCATAGGACACTTGCATTATGTCGCCATTCATTACTACTACCAGAATCCCTTGAACACTTTCTTTTGTTCAGTTAATTAGCACCAATATGCCTTACTATTTTCATGAGGGAATACAAGTTTGAATAAGAAAGAAAATTCGCCAAGAATYTTGAATGATGAGGACATCATGCAAACGTATTCCTTTGTTCATTTTATAGTCCCTAAAAATAGTGTATTTCTACATAACTTTAAAAAACAGTTGGTTTTTAGTCGAGAATAATGTTTGTAGCTTCCATTGACATTTCTAACGTAACTTCGAAGTTTCGTGATTGCTGAAACCTTTATCTCGTGTCATGCATGATTGGCCAATCCACTTGCCTTACGCCTATCTGTACGTAAGCTTAAAGATTGAACTCAACATTTACACTCAGATGATTGATCATTATACATCTAATTGGTGATCAATCAATCCAATGCCCATTCACTTGGATGTTGATCTAGTCAGACTAATCGTATGACCAATTATAGTCATCCAACGCAAGCAATAAGAGCAAAGATCTTATATTTCTTTTATGAAGAGACCTTGGGTTCAATGTCAATTATTTCATTTTCGTTTAGTGAATCAATTGTTGTTTTGTGGAAATATATATATATGTGTGTGTGTGCATGATAAGATTTGCCTGCAGCTAGTAAATACGTTCATTATTCGTCATTAAAGTCAAAACGGCTCAAGCTTCACCCCCCCCCCCCCCCCAGGTGCCATTAGAGATTGCATTATTCGAATATTGAATTTTTTTTCCAAAAGTACGAAGACACACAAGATTCGAAATAATAACCGATTCAAAACTCGAATTCTGATTGGATTATTCCATATAATGAACACCATAATTCAGTCAGAATTCGAGTTTTGAATCGCTTATTATTTCGAATCCTGAGTCTTGGTATTCTCAGAAARAATAATGAATGTCAATATTCGAATAATAAATACATTTAATGGAACCTAGGGGGGTATGCTTGATCGAGGCGTTTTGACTGTAGCTTATTTTTCCAACCCGGTAACAATCTTTCGTTGCCCTCGCCCTCCGTCTTCGAGAACTACAGTACCGGCTTTGCGCCACACGGCCTCGACTACCTATTTTCGCAGCCACGTCTAGTTTTCTCACTAGGAGAATTTTTTAACTACAAATTAATGCAAACAGCTAGGCATAAACGAATAACCAAATCTCTCTTTAATTTCCAGCTTTTTCCAGATCGTAAAGGATGTGRTTGGACATTTCTTCGTTTTCTCATCGACACTCTTTTCATTCTGTCTTATCTCGTTCTTTCTATCATCTTCATYTCTTTCTTTGTTTCTGCTCTCGCTTTCAGTCTCAGCTTATCACTGGACATGACCTTTGAGATGCTGTCTCCAGTGGGCTCCACGCAGTCCAAGAAGAACATCATCTCAGTTTGCTTGTTCTTTCTTCTTTGTTCTGTTCTCGTCCTTGTTTCTCTGATGCTTTCCCTTTTCTGGGAAGTTCTCAAAGCCGTTCTCCTCAAGATTTCCATCAAGTACAATATTGCTCGAGTAGTGCTTCTTTTGCTTATAGTAGTGACCAGTGGAGTCTGGGCCGGCGTAGTTCCACCCGTGGACTCACAAGTCAATTTTGCGGACTTTTTTCAATACATCTCCGTAGTAGTTTGGGTTACAGCCTTTGGGTTGTCAGTTCTTGGATCACTACTTTTGATCGTCTTTGTCTTTACGCATTCTGTCAAGAACAAGAAGATTCTATGTGTTCATGTCTGTATTGCTGTGATGTTCGTGGTTTTCTCTGTCATCAGTCCTATTGCATTCGGCATCATCACTGATTCTTCAGTTGGTATCATCGCATTTGTGTTATTGTTACCGCTTTTCACTGCCTTTGTCGTTATCTATGCTTACATCAGAGGTAAAATGAAAGACCGGAACAAGTACATCTTCAACAAGTATCCTTGTCTCTTGTATCTTATTCTTTTCTTGCTGACTGTAACTATTTTTACTTCTGTAATGAACGCACCGACTGGTTGTGGTAGTCAATGCGAGAAGGAGCTTAAGCAAAATGCGTCCACAATCAACAGACAAACATTCCTAAAACAACGCTACCAAATCTGCACCCAAAGATGGACCTCAAAGATGTTCAATATTGCTGACATGGCTTTCTTTGCAAACCTGACGTACAACAGACAAGTTGTTAAACCCAATTCCACAGCAATACAGCAACTTGCTAATGACTTCTTTAAAACAAGAAGCATGACTTGGACGGTGAAGTACATCTCCAGTTCCATGCCATATTTCATTCATTTACAAACTGGATTTGTTCACGTTATCGGTATTCGTGGATCCAAAAACACGTTGGAGTTTGTAGAAAGTGCAAAACTGTGGGATGAAACTGCTGTGCTGCAATCCCTCGCGTTGGTTTTCCCCATTCTTCAGAATCTACCAATCAAATTCAAAGCAGAATACGTCTCCAAAAGCTCCTTTATCAACAAAATCTTTCACGCGGGCTCCAACAGCCATTTCTTCCAATCTATCGAGGATTACGTCAAACAAGTCAAGAACACGAGTGATGTGGTACTTGTTGGACACTCTCTTGGAGGCGGCATCGCCAAGATCATCGGAGCCCGCCAAAAAATATCCGCTGTTGCTTTTTCAAGCCCTGGAATTGGGAACAGCTATATCAAGTTTGGATTCTCTCTTCAAGATGCCATGAAGTTTGTAGTGACCATCGCTCCAGATGGGGATGTTATTCCAATGGTCGATCAACTGTATGGCCAGGTCCAGACTATTCGATGTACTGGAGAGAATTTCGTACGGTGTCATCTCATTTCAAGAACGTATTGTGAGTTACAATTTGGATGTGGAATCTTAGTGCCCGGATGTGAATCTATTATTTATACCCAGCAATAATTAAATAGACCATATATCCATGAAAAACGTTGTAAGAAATTGCAAAAATTAGTAAGTTCAATAGACATCAGCAGACCATAGGTCTACAAAACTTTGCACTATTTTGTACAATTTGTAAGTTAACTTTTTGACAGATTTATGGTATCACTCTGATACGTATGTTTAAAATACAAAATTGATAGAAAATTTTAGCTATAGTACCATTACCGTTCTTTATTTATATCGTAATCTTTATACACGAAATCGGAAGTTTATATCTAAGCGTAAACACGACGAAAATGAGCTTTTACCGCGTGGCAGCCATGTTTATTTATTTATTGTTTTGAGCYAATCTCGTCCCTAGCCCACTTATTTCTTACTGCGCATTCGAGGCAAACTGTTTCTTCAAACATGCGCAGAAAGACCCACTGTAAGAAATGAGGGGTCTGTTTTTTTTTTGCGTTTGAATATCGACACTTGGAGCATGCTCAAACGGAAAAGTGACGAATGGTCCCCTTCACAGTTCCATGCGCCATCTTGAAAGGTAGCCTTGCCTTTGCGTCGAAACGAGACGAACGGTGAGCTTGCAATGATAGAGACCTTTTTTAACACCTTGGATAATTATTCACTTCTCTATCATTGCAAGCTCACCGTTCGTCTCGTTTCGACGCAAAGGCATGGTTACCTTTCAAGATGGCGCAGGGAACTGTGAAGGGGACTATTAGAAACCTATTGTCCTCCAAATTAATTGAGCTGCATTCTGGCATTCTGCTCGGGGTCCATAGAAGCTTTTGGGTGTAATGTTTTTCCATTTCAGACCATTCTCCTGAGAATAGGATTCTTTGATTGAATTGTGTGTGTCGGATAAACATAATAGAAAAGAAAAGAATAGGACGTTTGAATGATGTTTCACAGTTTCATCTGTTCAGTTAATTAACACCATTGTCTCACTATTCTCATGAGGGAATACAAATTTAAATAAGAAAGAAAATTCGACAAAAATGTTGAATGATGCCATCATGCAAWCGTCGTATTCCTTTGTTCATTTTATTGTCCGTCATAAGTCCTCATAAGGGCTGTCAAGTGCACGAAAACGAGGTCCCCGGTCATTAGTTCACAACAAGAGAGAAAAAACTCACGAAGTGCGTTTATAGRAAAAAAATATTGAATTTGCCCTTTTGTTTTAACCTGAATCGTGCTATCCACCTTTATTTTGAATGAGCGGCAAGATGACTGGGTGACCTCATTTCCGTGCACTCGTGATGAGAATGGTGTATTGCATCGTCGACAAGTGCTTGGCTAATGTATACAGTGCAGGCGTTTCTCGTACGTATGGAGGAATATTGGGGCGATTTCCTAGGGGAACCAACCACGTATACTGGAATGGAGATTACGGTTTGAGGTTAGCCTAGGCTGTTCATTTGGGAGTTTTCGTCGCAAAAAATGCATTCATTATCAGTTTTTCATTGTGCATGCATGATATTATATGTAATAATACACGATACCTAGAAATCCCAACACTTCGCAATAGTACGTCAAGTCGCTCTGCCAGCTTTATCATAGACTTGAGTCTTGAATAGAAAGAAAAATATTGTTCATCGTGGAAATTGTAATAAATGATACTTATTCATGTGTTTCACGTTTGAGAGTCATTCGTAGAAGAACCATTGAGTTTTGAACATGACAAACTGACAGACGGACGGACAAACAGACAGACAGACAGACAGATAGACAGACAGACAGATAGATAGATAGATTCCTTTATTTATACACGGACGTCTCATCAGCAAAAGTACAAAAATATATAATCACACAAATATTGAATGCGATAAATTAAATGGTTAAAAATAATAATAGTAACTGCTTTACATGAGTACCGTGTGAAGCTTAGTCTTGTTCGTGGAAAAATGCTTTTTGTAACCGGCCTTGAAGCCCTGAGGGACTTTTATAAGGAGGCCCCTGAATAGCTAAAATGTTTTTCAAAACATTACTTCGTGGCAAGGGGAGGGCAAGTTTTCCATCAGTGTCCCTCAAAGAGTAATTATTAAAGCTGGATCGATATACAAATTTGGCATTAAGATAACAAGGAGCTAATTTATGTACCGTTTTAAAGACCATTGTAGCTAAAGCGCATTTAATGCTAAGTCTCGTGTAGGCCAATTGAAGGTTTCCAAAATGTTATTAGCGCTTGTTTGATGCATTTTATCTRTTTCGCCGCTCTCAGTCGGTAAATCCGCGGGAAAAATCCCCCTGGAACCCTGGGTAATATTCTATATAAAATCATTCACAGAATAAAATTAGTACCGTTCATATTTTTAAATACATAAGGACGTTAGCGGCCATTGTTCGCACGTAGCCTCAACGTCTTCCAAATGTTTTGATGTTTTTCCGCTCTTAAAACGAGTATTTCATTTCTTCAAACACATTCGCCGACCTCAAGTTTTTAAAAAAAGTTCAACATGGTGCAAGTTTATTTTCCTTAAGATTTTCCATCTGCGCAATCTCAAACGTTTTTTTAGGCTCTTTCATACAATTTAACCAATACTGATTTCATCAATGTGTGTGGTTTTTATTTTAATTTAAGTTAACGTTGGAACATTTTTTTGCCCACGAACGTCCTTAAAGGATTTAAAAAAAATTCTATTAACACTGAGGTAGTCGATCGAGTAGCGGTCTATTTCCATACTTACTTTAAGTTTTATTATTTGATGATGGTAATAAGTATACACTTATTTCAATAAAGTTAGTCACCAAGAAAGAAAGCTGTGATCGCTGAGAATCATGGGAAATATTTCATATTCAACAAGTAAAGCTTTTGGCACAAACTGCAGCAGTTGAGGATGCTCAGAGGAGGTGAACTCGTAACTGGTAGAAGATCTCAAGTCTATCAACAGTTATCAAGCGGTTGAAACATGTAAAATGTATCTACCAATAATCCTTGTTGGTCTCAGCTTTGTAGCTTTTCAGGCGACTAACTCTATTGAAATAAGTGTATACTTATTTAAATAAAGTCAATGACCTGAAAAGCTGCGAAGGTGAGACCAACAAGGATTATTGGTAGATACATTTTACATGTTTTAACCGCTTGATAACTGTTGATAGACTTGCACATATTTTACACTTGCAGTCACAACTCTTCTGCACATTCTCAAGCTATTTCGTGTTATAAAATAACTGTTATGAATGTCGCGTTCTGATTGGTTTGGAGCGCGTGCTTTATGAGAGCACATTGCACGCGCGCACACTTTCCGTTGCGTCATTCCTATCTATTATTGTAATTTGTATTTTATAAAAATTGAAAATTAAAAAACTTGCTTGCTGTGCTGTGTGCAGTCATAAAACACTAGGGGATTGGCAGAACACTCTTATAATGCATTAAAAACAGTGAATACACCTAATTTAAAAAGCGTTGTCGGTTTCAAAAAAAGGTTTTATCATATAAGCTAAGACCGAAGGGGAGCATGGGAAGACAAACAATTATGCTAATTTCATGCGTATTGCAGTTTTCCCTTCCTGTGCACATTTTATGCATCATGGCTTTGGCATGTTGTTAATCTAGGTCGACTTTGCTCTACTGTGCATTTTTACATGTCTATATGCAAATATGATACACATTTCAGAGTACCCAAATCCCTTTTCGGTCTTAGCTTCGATGATATTACCTCCTCGAACCCGACTACGTTTTTTCAATTAGGTGTATACCTCAAAACTAACTAATCTTAATTATCGAGTACCGATTCACATCCAGGCATTAAATTTCCACATCCGGACTGTAACTCACAATACGTCCTTGAAATTTGATGACACTGTACGAAATTCTCTCCAGTACATCGAATAGTCTGGACCTGGCCATACAGTTGATCGACCATTGGAATAACATCCCCATCTGGAGCAATGGTCACTACAAACTTCATGGCRTCTTGAAGAGAGAATCCAAACTTGATATAGCTGTTCCCAATTCCAGGGCTTGAAAAAGCAACAGCGGGTATTTTTTGGCGGGCTCCGATGATCTTGGCGATGCCGCCTCCAAGAGAGTGTCCAACAAGTACCACATCACTCGTGTTCTTGACTTGTTTGACGTAATCCTCGATAGATTGGAAGAAATGGCTGTTGGAGCCCGCGTGAAAGATTTTGTTGATAAAGGAGCTTTTGGAGACGTATTCTGCTTTGAATTTGATTGGTAGATTCTGAAGAATGGGGAAAACCAACGCGAGGGATTGCAGCACAGCAGTTTCATCCCACAGTTTTGCACTTTCTACAAACTCCAACGTGTCTTGAGGACCTCGAATGGCGATAACGTGAACAAATCCAGTTTGTAAATGAATGAAATATGGCATGGTACTGGATATATGCTTCACCGTCCAAGTCATGCTTCTTGTTTTAAAGAAGTCATTAGCAAGTTGCTGTATTGCTGTGGAATTGGGTTTAACAACTTGTCTGTTGTAAGTCAGGTTTGCAAAGAAAGCCATGTCAGCAATATTGAACATCTTTGAGGTCCATCTTTGGGTGCAGATTTGGTAGTGGTCTTCTGCAAATAATTGTCTGTCTACTGCGGCAGCATTTTTCTCAAGCTCCTCCTTGCAGTGGCTACCACAACCGGTCGGTGCGTTCATCACAGAAGTAAACAAAATAGTTACAGTTAGCAAGAAAAGAATAAGATACAAGAGACAAGAATACTTGTTGAAGATGTACTTCCTCCGGTCTCTCGTTTTACCTCTGAAGTAAGCATAGATAACGGCAAAGGCAGTGAAAAGCGGTAACAATAACACAAATGCGATGATACCAACTGAAGAATCAGTGATGATGCCGAATGCAATAGGACTGATGACAGAAAACATCACTAGAATCACAGCAATACAGACATGAACACAAAGAATCTTCTTATTCTTGACAGAATGCGTAAAGACAAAGACGATCAAAAGTAGTGATCCAAGAACTGACAACCCAAAAGCTGTAACCCAAACTACTACAGAGATGTAATGGAAATAGTCCGCAAAATTGACTTGTGAGTCCACGGGTGCAACTACTCCGGCCCAGACGCCACTGGTCACTACTACAAGCAAAAGAAGCACTACTCGAGCAATATTGTACTTGATGGAAATCTTGAGGAGAACGGCTTTGAGAACTTCCCAGAAAAGGGAAAGCATCAGAGAAACAAGGACGAGAACAGAACAAAGAAGAAAGAACAAGCAAACTGAGATGATGTTCTTCTTGGACTGCGTGGAGCCCACTGGAGACARCATCTCAAAGGTCATGTCCAGTGATAARCTGAGACTGAAAGCGAGAGCAGAAACAAAGAAAGAGATGAAGATGATAGAAAGAACGAGATAAGACAGAATGAAAAGAGTGTCGATGAGAAAACGAAGAAATGTCCAACCACATCCTTTACGATCTGGAAAAAGCTGAAAATTTAAGGGAAAAAAGAAAAGGTGGTTAGATAATTATACATTCTTCAAGCATGTCATCTGGTAGCACTGATGTTACAGTGAAAACACACAACCTTCTACTGTTTCAAGCACTCTAAAATGAAGCATTGAGTTCAAATACACCGGGATTGAGTGATCTGTACAAATCTTATTTTCGATCGATTGGTTCAATGGATGATTCACCGAGTGAATTACACACAGAAAGCGAGCGAAAAAGTCGAAGTGTTCACGGTTGCAGTGTCCTCAAAAGTTGGGTCAAGTTGGCATTAAAATGCATTGTGGGACTGTTTTAGATGACGAAATAGACGCCATCTTGGAAATATTTCCCCTACTGACAACAGTCCCACATTGCACTGTAGAGCCAACTCTAACACGCTTTTTTTTAACCTGGAACGCTAATAAACCGAGACCAATTTGGTCTAGTAATCGAAGTAATATTTCAAGTCGACAATGAGGACTTGGACGTGATTTCAAGTCCTTGCAAGTAGTTCAAAGGATTTGAAATCCCGTGATCCAGTCCAATATTGGAGGCTTTGAAATGACTTCTCATACTCATTAATAATTCGGGAGGTTATTTGTTTAGAATTGAAAGACTTAAGGGACAGATATGTCCCTGAACTGAATTAATTTTAATTGATCCAGTCCAAGGACTTGAACGAAATTAATTCAGTCCTTTCACAGGACTTTACCAGGTTTCAAGTAACATCATGTGACCCAAAAAATAGCCCATTGATTGGCTGGTTTACTCATGAATTATTAATACGTTTGTGAAAGCTAAATAAAGTGCCGTCATCTTTCGATCCAGAATTTCTGGATAGCCTTYACGAAACCTTAGTCTAGCAAGATTTTTCTACTGTAAGCACCCCACAACCCCAGTTTTCCTTTGAATTTTAGATTTAACATTGTCAAGTTATCACATTTTCCTATTTCTAGCCAATATATCATGATTCGACATCAAAAGCAGAAAATTCACGTCCTCTTTAACATCGGGGTGCTCTTTCCATATCTGGTGTTTATTTTGACACGTCTGCTCGTTCCAAGGGGTAGGGTCACGTGACCTGCTAGTGCGAATGGTTTGTCAGGAAGGGAATCTTTGAGAACTCACAGAATAATTATTGGGCATTTCTACGCATGTTTTGCAGCCATAATAAGCGAATATATCATCTTAAATTTCCTAATAATGTAGTTAAAAGAATTGTTATTCAAAAACGATTCCAATAACGCAATGTTATGATCAATATTAATCTATTTTAAGAAGAAAAAAATTGACAAGATCGATATAAATTTTAAATTAATTAATCATCGATGGAAATCGTACACTTGCCTTCTCTTTCTCCTTGGGTTTCATATGAAACCCAGCATAAGCGTAGTCGTCGTCTTCTTCTTGAGCAAACATTCCTTCCGCAAAGGTTTTTAACGGTATCATCTTGGCTTACTTCTTATTTGTTTGGTTGAGTTCAACTTTCACAGTTCAATTGCAACAACGACAACAGAGACTTCTTATGTTAGATTTGATGAACAACAAAAAGTCCTTAGATCTAATCTTGCCAGTTCAATGAAAACATAAAATTCACCTCGCTTTTACGCATCCTAAGAGTCTAAGAACGTTCCAGAACATCAAAGAATGCTGCTCAAAGGCAGCGATGACAGTACTAATAGTTTAGTATTCGAATTCAATAATTGTTTATATTCCGATATGATAATAGTGATAATAATAGTAATAATGAACTGACGTTTGAAAGCGTTCATCTGTGAAACAAAGCATTCTTCAGCTTCCAATAATAAGTTTTAGAGTGATTTTAGACTCTAAACCCATTGTTTTCTTTGTTTTTTGTTTTTTATTTTATTTTATTTTTTAATCAACTAGTGCTAACTAAATAGTCAGTTTTCTTTCACGAATTAAATAAGATCACTTTAACAAGAAAAACAACGGAAAATCTGCATAAGAGAAATCAGGCTGGATAGATAGATAGATACACTTTATTTACTAAGGGAAACTGTAATTACACAAAAAAACTGTACTCTCCCTTACGGTCCTAACAAAAATATGAAATTAAATATAAAGATAAAAGCAGTTAAATTTGGTCTAAGTGAGAGAAAGATATAATACTGAAAAAATAGTGGTGAATGAAGTTTATAGATATCAACATTTAAAAAAAAAATTATTGTAAACTTCTTAATAAGGATATATTAGCGATCATAAATTAATATTAATAAATACGAGAAACTTTGAAATTATTATTATTATTATATGATTCCATAATGGATATATAATAGATAGGCCTTTCTAACATTCTTGAAATTAATGAAGGTTAATATTAGTTTTGGGCCATACCGCTTGAATAAGAATGTGTCGAACTGACATATATGTGATGTCGTAATAGTGACGTGCGGCATTCCTCGTTGAATAGCGCAGCGCGCTCATTCTAAAAATAGCTTAAAGATTCGGACAAACATTGCATTCTGTTTAACCGCTACGAGGATTATACGAACCGATTTTATYATTTTTRCTTAAAGTTACRATAATAACCCATGTAAACTAAGATCAACTGCGATCGGCTGTGAAAATTATCTGCTGAAAGTAAACTTGTAAGTTTGTTTGTCTGAATTTCGCCTTTGTCTTCGTTTTTATGACGTCACGGCTGCGCTGCGCTATTCGTGCGTGTCTTATTCGTGGCGATTGCATGACGAATGCAAGTTGCGTGACCTTACGGTGTTACGGTGATGCTAGGAATAGGCCACTTGCGAATGTGAAGTCAAAGCTCAATTTGCAGGACAAAACAAAAGTATTTCGATCTCCTGAGAATTGGAAACCTATTTTTATGTCCTCCAAATCAAGTTGCAATCCGACGTGTTGCGAGGGGTCTTTATAATTACTCGATGTACTTGCGCCGAATATCAATGTGACAGAAAAAATCTTGAGACGAGGTCCTGTGCGGACCATGTTGCCGTGCCAATATGGAATTTGAGAAGATGAGAAGCTAAGTAATTCCGTATATTGCAGCTTTAAGCAGATTTCGTTCGAAATGAAACGGCACGGCACAAACACGGCGGCACTAGAGAAAAACGTTTGCGCATGCGTGCATTTAAGCACGTTTCCTAAGAATGTTGAAGAGGTTGAGTGAGAAAATAAATGTTTGTTTTCTCAAAGTTTTTAAAAAGATCCGCAAATATACTTTTGTCAGACCAAGATACTGTATTAACAAACACAATATGAAAGAATTACCCTTACGTTTTAAGCATGGACACTAAGTTTTGGCATTTTGTGAAGTCCAGTTTAATATCAGGCATGTTTGAAAGTCAAATTTACATATATTTTTTTAGCATGAATGACATTTTGACTAATTTGCCTACGGCTTAGATCATGCGCAGACGTTTTTCACTCGTGTCGCACAACACTRTGCCGTACCCAGATCCTGCGTTTCTTCTGGCCCGCGGCGAAAAACGAAGGCATAATCCATTTTTGGCGCATGCGCAGTTTTCCGGAAGTAAAATATAATTAATGAAAATCATGCTCTCAAACAGAATTCTGAGTTTACTTCCGATCAAAATAGAAATTAGAAATTGGGATATATTTTTTTGGGCAAGTCTTTTAACGTTAGCGCTCATATACCGGAAGTCCAAGAAATCCTCGCCGCAGGCCAGTTTCTACCACGGTCCATGTTTCCTCGGGTCCAGTCCAGTCCATGTTTTAGACCATGCCGTGGTTCGCTTGATTTTGAATAAAGTCGTGCAATTCAAGTATTCGAGTTAGTGCAAATATTGTTGTCTGGACTAGCCAGGCCGTTTTAGCTTTCGCCAACATGCACAGTCTTTTCGCTCACAGAAGTTACCAAACCCGACACAGATAAACACTGTAATCAAAGCTTAGTGTAAGATATTATGAAAACACATAGAACCGGCGACGACCGGAGACAACGGTGACTTAGCCGGATATCGCAGCCGACTCTAGTAAATTGGCAAACAAATATAACAATTGATCTAGTTCCTCAAATGGATCACATGCACAGGAACTCACCATGCAAGATAACCCTGTCATATAGTCTGGATTATTGTTTTGAGAGCACAGGGATTTCATTATTCTGCCATCTAACTACAGGCAGTCCAAGCTGGATTATAGCGCCGTTACGTAATGGTGCAAAACCTCTATACATACTTGTCCAGAGTCGATAGATTAATCCCTGGATAAGATTTATCCGTCGGATATATAATGCTATCTACCGTTCGTACATCCGGCCCCAGTGATTTCATATTTTCTATAAATAAAGAGCGCCATCAAGAAGAGATTCCCTTTCACAATAGGATTGCAATTTTGGTGACATTTCACCTGTGATAACCTTCCTATTTCCTTCAGGATGTGGGCAGTCAACTGTGGAATCAGTCAACTGACATCTTACCAAGGTGCCTCTTTGGCGATGGGGTCGCCTCAATGGCACCGTGATGCCTATGACATTTCTCAGCAAAATGGTAGGCGTAGCCTGCGCTGTATGCGAATGTAACGCAGGCTAGTGGGCGACGAGGAAGGGAAAGGAAATAATGAATGTTGCTAATCACGGTGCAAATCGTTCGTTCGGAAACGCTTCGCGGAATTGAGCTATGATTTTGGGTTTGTTTTAGGACCGCATGGTGACAGTGGTTAAATTCTCTAGCAGAACTCAGTCACATTTCTGTTGTATGAAATCTAATGAGGCATATATTCATACAGATTGAATGGGTTGTTTTATTCTTGATGTAAATCAAACGCTTTGTTTAACTTGTATTCGATACGGTGTTCCAACAGATTTGATCTTGTTTTGCTCATTTTTTTAATTCATACTAAATCCCACATCATCATAAGAGCTTAAAATGTTTCCATTATTCCAATCGCTATCGACCGGCCCTCGTAACTAACCCTTGAGCCCACAAGCTTGTATGATCTTACCAAGAATCTTCAAAAACAGCTATCTTTGAGCACCAGGTGTTTTTCTGGGTGACTTGGCGAACGTATTGTGAAGTAATTGTCAACGTAAAACATTCAAAAGAATAAACAGCATAAAGCCAAACATGACATTACAACTCGCACTTAGCTATTTTCTTACGTACTCAAAAAGGCCGGACCTATCAGATTGCAGCGAAGACAACAATTAAAAAGGTTTCTTGCCAAACAAACTGAGAATACAGTGGAAATTAATATGAAATAACGAATTAACGGTTAAATAGTTCAGGTTTACTCTTTGCCGTCGATATTTACGATCATGCCCATAATCCATGTCGATCTTGGTTCAATAACCATTTAATGACGTCATAGTTTTGATGATCCTCAGGGGGCAGCAAGGAAGCTAGTTAGTCTGACAAAAGGTATCGATCATCACCAAGAGCTTGATGCTGCATGTCATCCTGGCCTGGCTTGCTGTAAGAGACAATTAATCAAACCTGACTCGAGATATTCTCAGTATATGTACACTGCGTCGCCATGAGACAAGAATTTCGATGGAAAAACTATAAGCTTGACTACCCAGACATCAGTGTGTTCACTACTTCCCCAGTAAGTAACATCATGGTTTAAGTCCTTATTTTAGTCACACTGATATATAATGGTTGGTAACTCTGCGAACATCATTTGATCCTGCTATATTCTTAGCAGCCTTGGTTAATCCATTGCTAATGAGAAAAATAAGATTTCATTTTTAATACATAACAATATACCGGCAAATTATGAAGGAATCTTTTAAAAAAGATCTTCGGCCGACAAATACTACCAGAAACTCCAAATCCATGGTTTTTTGAAATCTCTTGAACGGATAATATATTAGTAAATGTGATACCCAAACAGGCACCTAGCTTAATGCCATATTTCGCAACAATTCGCGAATGAAACCTTGAAAGTAATAATTAGAATAGAGGAAGATGTCCGATATGCTCAGCTGCACATCTTTGATAAAAATATTAATGTCACTAGACCTTATAAACCAGCCTGGGCAATGATATCTTCCGAAACTACGAAGATTGTTAATCCGTATAGTTGTTATTGTTTTAAAACTTATGATTTCCTGGGATATTGATTGGTTTAGGATATCATATTTAATCCCCTCGGATGAGTAACAATAATGTCTTGAGATTAGTTTAGAGTGTCGTGTGTTGGTGAAGATCAGAAAATCTTTCTCCAACGAATTTGAGGGAGGAAAAAAAGAGAGAGAATCGAAGGCAAGTGGGATAAGCACGGAACTTGTCGAAGCACGTATCATAAAGGTGTAATTAACTTTAGGACCATGACAGCATGATATCTTAAAAATATCTTTGTCATTTGTGAGAAATAACGGCTAAAAATAGATAGCAAAAATACAGATTCAATGGTAGAAACCGCTAGAAAAAATTAAAAGTAAGAAGTAATCATACTTTGGTGAGTAAACAAGCGACGTTCGCTGTTGGWTGTTCATGATATATTGAAAGAAATTGTCACATATATATAATCCATAGTTCACTCCTTAGAAATAGAACACTCTAACAAAAGTAACCCTAAAACATTCCATTACCAAAATAACAAACAGATAACATCTTCACAAAAACTTTTTTAAAGCAACTTCCCTCGTGAAAAACAACCAGATTTTTATTTCCCAATTCGTGTACAATTAGCTCGCCATATTCAAATCAAAATTAAATTTATTACAGARCATAATTATTTACCCACAAAGTTGCTGTTTATATTCTCTTATATCAATATTTAATGACAAGAGCAATATTTATTGCCACATCTTTTGAATAATTGAGTTGAGTTTGCCTTTAAAATTTTTTAAATTGTAACTCAAAAGACGAAGTGACAGACACGAAAGAAACGGTTTCATTTGAGGTTATTCATAAGGTCAATCCACTGTGTTCTTTTTACTACATGCCCGGCTTTTGTTTGAATGTTAGAGTGTTTACTGACCAAAGCTGGAAAAACACTGTCATTGAGAAGCCAAGAACTAAAATTCCATTTGTCTAGAGCTTTACTAATCATGCAGCTTGTAGCARTGATAATATACATGTGTATATATTATCCTGTCCGTCATGAAGGTCAGACCTTTTCTTGTCACCTTCAGGATTTATTTAGAACGTTTACGTGGTCGATCTCTTTTCTTTTTTCGACTTTTCTTTTTCTTTTCTTTCCTTTTTCTCTC